GCGTCTATCGCGCCTCGGATTTGGGTTCTGGGGCGTGACAGTGCCTTTGGTGAAAGTGTTGTGGCGGTATCATAATGAGAATGAAGCTACATGGGAGCTTGAAAGTCAGATGAGGGAGCAGTATCCAAATCTAGTTTGGTAAGCTAAATGATTTGGTGGGCCAAATCCTTTTAAGGTGGGAAGGATGTAACACCCCATATACCTTAGTGAGTAAATTAAAAATTAGAGTCCTTTAGTTTATAATTTTAGGGATTAAATTGATTGGATTTAAAGTTTGGGCGTTTTAAGTAGAACTTAATAGGAGTTGAATGGCTTTAACTCAATTATTCCAATTTTTTTTCCACATGGCATTACACCAAGCTAGGATTTTTTGGCTAGCATTGGATAAACCTCAAGAAGGCTACCAAACCCCCACCACTCCTCTGTATCCTTCCTTCTTCCCGTCTGCACCTTTCTTTCTCCTTCCAGCTTGGTGTGGTGCTACATCTATAGTTTCTAGCTGAAATTTTCTTGCAATTTTACTGCTTTATGCTTAGATTTTCATAGGTAAGTAGAAGGTTAAAGTTATGAATTTGGGATTAAAGTTTTTGGGTAAGTATGAGTTTTGATTGTAAATTTGAGGTAGAGTTTCTTTGGGTAGATTATAGATTTATTTCAATAAACTAAAAATTAGTTTAAATTAGTGAAATTTGACCCCAAAGCTTTAGTTTAATAGATCTTTGGGTATTAAGATTTTGTTAAAAACAGGTCAATTTTTGGGGCTTATATGGGAAAGAACAGTGAATTATTCCTTTTTTATTTTATGTTTGATTTAGTGTGAATTTTATGGATTAAAGGACCTTGCTGGAATTGTTTCACGGGTTACTGTTCACAGGATATTGTTTTTGAATACTGTTCACGCACTAATTACCATGCATGTAGTGTACTTTAATTTCTTTCAATATGATGTTCTATGGAACATGTGAGTTGTGTATGTGAATATTAGTATGAACTTGAATTGTCCATGCAACTCATTAATAGGGACATTAAATGGGATAATCTTCTAATATTATTTTGGACATGTTCTAAACTTGTTTGACATATGTATGTGCTTGTGGTTATGGAGTAAGTGGATCTAAACTTAAAGTTTGGGGTATTTAGTGGATCCTTCGGGGTATTTAGTGGACCTTTGCATAGTAGGGTTAATACTGTGATTAGCTCCGGTACAATGTTGCTAGCATACATCAGTGGACTCCATAACATTGTGTGATCTTGGTTGTATGCATTGCGCTTGTGGCATCGTATTTGTGATCATATGATTTTAGTATATGAAGTTAATTTAAATGTCATTGATTATTCTTTGACATATGTGATTATGATTTGAGATATTAAGTTATTATTCAAATACTGGGAATTATAATATTATGGGGTTTGGTTCCATTGTATCTCATGCTCTTTATGTGTATAGATCTAGAGGTCTCAGGACCCAAGTTTATAGCTTAAACTTATTACTTACTGAGCTTTTAGCTCATAAAATTCCCCCTTCCCCCCATTTCAGATTAATAGATTGAGGTAGCAGCCTTCCGGTTTGAGAGCTTTCGGCACGAGACTCGTATGCTCGTTGTATGTAGAAGCTAGAGTCTCGTGTTTTTTATAGGAAGGCAGATCGATGTGTCACCAAAACAATGACCCAGCTTTTATTCTTTTGAAAAGCTTTGGAGAAGAATTTGCCTCATATAATTTTTGTATAAATTACCTTTATGTATAAAATCTTTAAATTAATTATAAATGAGCTTAGCTCAGCTTATTTTATAACTCTGAATATTTTGGCATTTTTCCAATATATATATAGATATATATATCTTTTTGTTAGAGTGGTTTTCCTTTACAGGTATCTATAATCTTCTCTTTTCAAAATGTAAATTGATTTTTTGAATATAGGTTTCTTTTGAAAAAACATTTTATATCAGAAGTGTTTTTACTTTTACTGTAATTCATTACTATAAATCTTATTTTAGGACTCTTCTAAGACTAAGAGTACCTAAGGGAGGTGTGTTATAAAAGGGGTTATCAATGTGGATATGGCGACTAATTTATTTGTGAAGGACACTGCATACTATTGATTGATATATGTAATTTTTTCTTAAATAGATATATCTACGAATATTAATTATGGAAATGCTATAGTTATAATATTATGTAAGATTGTAAGTTTGCAATCTTACCTTACATTAAATGAAATAAATGAAATATGGCATGACATTAAATGAGTGAATACATATAATATCACGGATGGACCTTTAAATGAAAAAAACTAATTTTATAATGATACATCATGTTATAAGCATACAATACCACGTGATATTGTAATTATAGTATTTTCGTATTATATATAAACTTATTTCCATTTAATAGATAACATTTATTTTATTAATTATTAACTGTTTTTAACCATCAAATCAAACAAAATTAATATCTTTTAACACAATTTTAGTAGTTTTAACAAACATATTGGTGTTATACACACAATTTTGGTGATAGGCCATATTATTTATTTATTTATTTGATCTTGAGTTGCACACTAAACTATTAGGTTGTTAGTGCAAACCGTATTGTAATGATAATATAAAATAAGAATTTTTTTCATAAATAATTAATTGTGATATTTGAAAATACTAACCTATATATTGATTTTAATTTTTTAAATAATAAATATTAGTTATTTTATTATTTACTAATCAACAAGTACGTGACATTGGAACTGTCTCCTTGTTTTGTTAAAATATCAATTTAGTCCCTTAACTTTTAAATTTGTACTAGTATCTTCTTAAACTTCAATTTTCACTACCAATTTCATTCTTTTGTTGACAAAAGTGAAATGTGACACAATAAGTTGCCAATAAATCACACATTTAGGAAGAAAACATGCATAAAGTGTTAAATGGTTTCAAATCGGTAGAATTTTTGTATCTCACTATAATATCCCAAAATTTTTTTGAAAATCTTAAAGTTTAAGTTAGGGACTTATGTGGGAGAAATTGTTATTGTTGGGCCTAATAATTAAAATTTACTAACCTAACGGGGGCTAAAAGAAAATCAGATATTTAAGGGGTTAAGATCGATTTTCCTTTTCTCCTTACCCTTCTTACGTGTTTCCTAGCTCTTCACTCAAAACTCTGCAACCCCAAGCCCCAACCTGCCCCAGCACTTCCTTCTTTACCAAAAGAAATAGGTAAGACTTAGCTTTTTCTTCCTCTTCCTAGCAAAATTTAGAGATTTATAAGTTTACGATTCTCAAAATGATGATAAAAAATCTAGATTTGGTTGTTGATATCCTCCAATCTCCTAGTCTATGTCGGGTTTGCTGTCCATAGTAAGAGATCACCATTTTTTAGCATTTTTCGATAAGAAATCAATCATATTGTTCATCTTTTCATCTTTGATTTGAATTGGGTTAACTCTAATCCTTTAGGGTTTTCAATTTTGGGAATTTTCTGTAGTTTCCCCCTTGATTTATGTCCATAATTTAACACTACCAAGATCTGATCCTTTTTTGTTGGAAATTCTAACAGCATGATCATGCAATAGTGTTTTTTGCCCATAACTCTTTTTGGAGATATTGTATTGAGTTCATTCTTAATTTTATGGAAAGTTAAGAGATAGCCCTACAATTTTTATGTTGGACATTTAACCCAGTTAAGTTATTTTGAAGGTGAAAACTTTACTGCAAGTTCAGTTCCTACAAGTGGATGGAATTGGCAGCTTGACCTTATGTCAATATTATGATAATAACTTCCTCTATATATGCCAAATTAAGGTGATTCTTGATCCTATAGAATGCTAAGACATAGGGTACAATTGATCTGTTGACCATTCAACCTAGATTGGTCAATTTCTGGGTACAAATTCTGTTGGAAGTTCCAATCTAGTTTAGAATCTAATCAGAACTTGCCCTAAAAAGTACCTAGAAATTTTGTTTTCTTTTCTGCTCTATTCCCACATTATCTATTGCCATATCACCTATTTTTCTTGCTTAAACTTAGTATGAAATAGTCCCAAATAACACAGAAATTTTAACTATTGTTAGTTGTTGGTGTAACTTAATACTTTTTTTTCTTGTTTTCATGCTAGAAGATACACAATTATATTAGTTAAAATTTACTTATTTGCATCTAATTTTTGAAATTTTTGCATTTAAATTGTTCTATTTTGTCTTGAAAATTTTTAGTGTTTTGACTGCCTTTTTGCTACTATATTGTTGCTTGGATGCTGCCCATTTCTGCCCAATTTTGGTTGGTATTCTGCAGTCTTTTACTATTGTTTTTACCCAGAAATTTCTACTATTTTTGCCTAGAAATCCTTGTTGTTTTTGCCTAGAAATCTCTGTTGTTTTTGCCCAGAAATCTCTATGATTTTCGCCAAAAAAATTCCTATTGTTTAGGGCTTTTTCCAAACATTTTAGGACTATTTCAAATGATGGAAACCCCCACCTTGCTATCCAATTTTTGTGTTACTGTTTGAGACAATTTCGGGCTTAAATTCTCACATTTTTCCATCTTATTCTATCTAGAAAATCTGTTTGGAATATCTACTATTTTGTGTGACATTTGGTGTTGTTTTAAACATGTTTTAGTTACCATTATGCATATGAATATATATATAAGTAATGTTTCAATGGGTAGAAGTGGTAAGGTTGTGTAGGAAGAAATTGTTCTTTGGATTAAGAACTTAATTTTGGAATTAAGAACCAAATTAGTTAAATGGAGTATGCTGTAATCTTGTTTGTTCTTTGATGTGGCATAGGCTCTAGATCACCTTCATCGCCTTGAGATCTTGAAT